CCCAATTTCAAACATGTGGGCCAAACGGTTCCTGAGTTATCGTTGACCGTAGCGAAATGTTGACGGACGGACGGACGAACGGACGGATGGACGACGACCCATGGCAATAGCTCAGCTTGACGATGTCAAGGTGAGCTAAAAAAATAACCGATTAAAATAAGGGTGTATAAAACGCGCGATGTAACTAAACACGCATAATCTCACCCGTATACTTGTCAAATTCATATAAAATTCGCATCAACAAGGAATATTTTTAATAATAAATGCACATGCATTATGTATTAATTGATCGCGAAACACTACTAATTAGTAGATGGCTGTTAACTATTGTTATAAGATGGCTATATTAATACATGCATAATCTTCGGTGATCAGACCTAAGCCACATGATAACGGCATTTAATAATAACGCGGATTTTCTCCACAAAACGCAATCATCTATTTTTAACAAAACTCACCGTTTAATAAGAGAACATGAATAGACTGAATACACTTCTCACAGATATAAAGCCATTGAATATCATTATGCTATTTATACGCACGCCACCTAGTGGTTATTTGCGGTCACATTTGAGAAGTGCTATATCATTATGCATAATATAATCATAATATATCATTATGCAGCTATAATTGGGCTTCTCACAAATATTGCATATTATTCCATGAGTACAAAATGCATTCTTCGAAACTTAATATAACCATCCGAGTAGCAATGCAATTTCTAATCAAGATTTATAGTTACATACACGCATATTAATAATTGAAAAGCTTTCTTAGTATATAGTTTTGTGTCGTTTACAAGAAAAAGTAAAAAATAAACATCAAGATATGTCTGTGACACTACAAGTTCACAACTTGATTACAGGAGTGCACCAACCACACGCGTTATCAACATATGTAGTATGAGTATATGTAGTATGAAACCCAGCATCAAGTAGTGCACAGCATTAATGCATTTAACGAAATAACTCATTATCATATACTCAATACTGTTACATTTCGAGGAATACAATGAATATAACACGTATAATCATTATTAAAATCGATATATAAAATCGATATATTGCTACAATCGAGATTTGTTCATAAAAATGCATCAAGTGTATCATATGTGTGTATAAACACTAATGTGCCCACACACAGATGGCGAGTATAATTGTGTATATTATTATTACAAAATACTTCAGTAAATCATTTCCAGCTAATATGAAGCCGTTCAACCACACTAACGAAAAATTACTCGCTGTCCCTCTCTATATGCGTCCATGTGCGTGTGTGTGCGTGCGTGTATGGGGTATATGTTTTGTGCGTGCATGCATGCGCAATAGGGATAGGTACACATTTGCTTAAACAATTTCAACTTGTCTTAGGACATATTAGGTAGGATACACGAGATTACGTGATTTCTTCAACGTGGGACACAAAGTAATCAGTGTTGTAGTCGAGTCTTCACCCCCGCATTTGTTTTACGAGAATGACACGGCTTGTTGAACCAAATGAGAGAGTGCTAGTACCTTCGAAGTGGTAGAAGAAGAGACAGAAGTGGTAGAAAAAGCGCAAAGGGACGAAGTGACAGCAGATTCAAACCAAAGGGACAAGAATCTTAATCGAGCCATTCAAAACGTTACAATTAAGATTAGGCCATGTATCTAGAAAACCTAGGAGTTTTAGTTTTAAATTCTTGTAAACTGCGTGTTACAATAATTATGTACAGTTGTGTACTAATGTAGTGGCCTCGAGCCGGCCTCGACCCGAGTCCTCGAGTCATTGCACTCCGAGGTCAAGACCGAGACCGAGACCAAGGAAAACGGTCTCGAGGCCGGTCTCGAGACCTACAACACTGAAAGTAATAAAAAATTAAACTGTAAACATTCAGATTTGAAATTAATTAGATTACAAACAACCCTCTATATATTTCTAATTAACAAAACGATATACCTATACAGGGGAATGAAATTCAGATTTTTTGCACCAGCCCAGTTCTGGTAACAGCAGTTTTGCGCTGCCTGAAGTGCCCTGCCTATAGACGTGACGCACACAACCAGCTTAATGGCAGAAGATTCAGCAACAATAGCCACACAGTATCTGCCATTATTGGAAGCTGGATAATGATGGCAACACTATCTTATACCCAAGGCAACAGATTCCCAGACATACAACGCAATCCCACTAAATAGTTGTGCAACTGCACAGCAATTAACACATACACATATGTTAAGTGAGGACTGCAAGGACATTCAAAATCACCAATGCTCATTTGAAAAGTGACTTACTTCAAGATCAGACACTATGGTTGGTTGGGAAAATATGATGCAGCATGCATACATTTTTGATGAAAATGTTACTCTTCTGTTTCCCTAGAACCAGATTACATATTATTATATCATATATATATATATATATATATAGCAAAATGAACGTGAAACAAGCTGCTATGGTATCAGAGACCAATGGAAAATAACTGAATGTGTAGCAAAACACTGTGGGATATTACAGGGAGAAATACGGGGAGGACAAAAGGAAAAATCAACTATGATTAATACACAACAACAAAATTTTAAGTTGAAAACGGCTATTGTGTAAATGTATCAAATGGCTTCAGGAGTAAAATATACATCAAAGAAGAGATGATTGACAGTAAACATGCTTGTGGCTAGGTAGCCTCGTTTTCATTTTGAAGATTACTGCCTCGTTTTTCGTTCCCAACACGCGATTTGTGAAACATGCCGTTTCTAAGTTGTTTCTCATAATTTAGAGTGTTGCTGGAGGTCGCCACAACGTAAGTTAATAAATTATAGCACTGTAGTTTTGATAACAAGATGCAGTAAAGATATGTTCGCAGTATTGCCTAACAGTGATCCACTGTGTAATGCCTGATCTTACGTGCAGTTTATTTAAATCCGCAAGTGCATGTATGTTTGTTAGACCATTTTCATTTATTGGTGACGTAAGACTCCTGTGTTTGTATTTTTAGTTCTTACGCTGTATCGTGTGGAGGAATGAAGAAAGTAAAGAGTTCACCCACTCGAAGCGTTATCTATTTGTCTATCAATGTATCTGTCAAATGCAAAGGGCAGAATATAGGTCAGGGCAGATTATTGTGTAAATAAACAAAACTGATGTAAGTTATAGACTATATAGATTACCATCTGCAGTCAGCACTGTACACTTGACATACTCAGCTTATCCTTCAAAATATCAGTATGATCATAACCTCATTCTTCTGTGTAACTGCAATAGCACTACATAGATAGTACATAAACTGGGGGGAAATAGCTTGTATTGGAAACATCTAGTCATTTATGTTGTCAAGGAGAAGTGGAGAGCATAGCAGGCAATTTGTTTCCCACTTCTGCTGAGTTCCATTCGTGCCTTGTACTTCCCATTTTCCAAGAAACTTGGAATTCCTTCGTCTGGTATTTTGACATCTGTCAAAGGCATTTGGTAATTTCCCTGGAGTATAACAATTATTTAATTGCAGTAAAATTCACACACAAAAACATTAACCTCATAATTAATGTTAAAATTTTTGCTAGTTTCAACATAAACATACACTGCACAGTTGTAATACATCCTAGAATAGCATTCAGTTTACCATTGGACCAACAATACTGAATACTGAATTGGACCATACATGCTGAAAATTTGACGCTACAGCAAACTAATCCGGGCGAGGCCAGACTCAATTTTCAGTGTACACACGCTATTCTAGACTAAATGCACGCTAGTCCTGACCAAGTAAGCCCATAAAATTAAGGAAGGGCAAGGTGTGATCCAAAGCATGCTAAACGATCCCGAACTGCACTGTCTGTGCAGTATGACACTATCTTTATTGCATGAATTCAGATACAAATACATGTACTGACGACAGTTTTTTTCATGGAGAGGAACTATATGTTAACCTGGGCATGCGCAATGCAATTTTATGGCCCAATACAGTATTTTGCATCAGTACACTCAGGAGTTACTTGATGTCGGATCAAAATTACAGTTTGTATATGGTATAAATTATACACTCAGGAAGAAGTTTGTACTGAATGGGTACCTTATTATTACCACCAAGTGTATATAATAAATTATGGTTAAAGCAATAATGGTATCGATAGTAAAAATAATGGTTTAGAAACAATATGATCACAAGTACACATGTATGATGTAACCATATTCTTTCGATACAGGTGATCTTACCGGTCTAATAGGGCATGTACAGGGTATGCCATACTTCCTTAATGCAGGGATCTGATCACAGATAGAGGGCAGCATCGGGCAGATGTCATTGTAGGTGCATGATCCTACATTGTCAACACAGGGAATTGTGAGCCAAATCAACTCTTTCTTCTCTATAGTTAGAACTGCCTGTGCGAAAACAATTTTCTGTTAGATTTTACACCAACATTGAAACACAAAAGCACCAATACATATAGGCATACATGTATAGTAATATACACGTAGATATATATACATATATATATAAATTTAACTGTGAACAATTAACCAATCCCTAACTAGGAGTTTAATGGCCAGTAATCGAGGGCCTACACATACCTTTATTGGCCCAGAAGCAGTTTCCCTAACAAGGCCAGAAAAGTCAACTTTTGCAGTGCCTGGAATGTGGATCGGGTCTGGTTTAACATCAAGTTTGTTTAGGACGAGCGAATCACTCTCACCACCACAGGAACTCCAGGAGAATGTAGGCAAACTGTTGCTCCTTAAAATGGTAAAATCAAACTTTAGTAGGAATGTTAGTCTACTGGAATAGGGGGAATTACAGTTTATTCCCATGCAGTTTCCAGTGTAATAAATATGCCATTTCCTAGTTCCCAGTTAATTAAAATCACATTCTGCTTGACCATCTCCCCATTGACCTCTACTCCCAAATCACGAAAACTTTATCCGGTATTTTCCAGCTCCCAGATATTTAAAATCATGGGTTGGGCCCGTTTCAATAATAAAATGATAGTAAATAAACATGAATGACGACCAAAATCTTCATGTTTATCTACTCTAGTTTACCTATTATTAGTAATAATTTCCTGTAAATGATATTCAAATGCTCCTTTGCATCACATAATCACACAGCACACATGCCACTTAGATACAATAATGTAACCCAAACACAGGATAGGTGTAACTGTTATTGTGTTTATATTCCTATCCTGTGTTTGGGTTACATTATTGTATCTACCATGCCACTGTGCACAAACTTTCAGAAAGATAGAGCTATGCCTTTCTGTGTTTGTGCACAGACCAGTGAAAAAAATACACGGGGGCTCGGGGCGATTTAGCCCCCGAAATGCCAAAAAGAGCCCCGGAAATGCCAAAAAGAGCCCCCGTAAATTTGCATAGAGTTCAATGCAAACCAAATTTTAGAGTGCTATTTTCATGCACGCGAGCTTGAAAAGTAGCCCCCGAAAAATAAATTGTATTTTTTCCCCTGCTACAGCCCTGCGCTCACATCCCACAGACACGACTAAACATTCCTCCACTGTGCAATCCGCCCCCTCCTCCCCAACACTACGCTCCACGTGCCACGCCCCCGCCGC